GCGCCCTCAAAGAAGCATGAGGAAACGGACGTTGATCATGTTCACACACGCAGCAACCACTCTCAAACTCGTTCTTTGAAACGTGAGAATGCACTGCGTAACCAAGCGGTACACCTTCTGATACGCACACGCCGCGAGAAACCAAACCACATGTACACCATGGCCGCACATACGGGAAAGTTTGCGAACAACTTCCTGCCGCACCTCCGACCAGAGACCGCAAATAGGTAGACATTGCGTTCTTGACCTTGGATGAGCGGTTGCAAGGTGAGCGCCCGCCTGCGAGGTTCTTGTCATGATGGGCTGCACCACGGTTGCCATGTCGCGCACAGGACGGGGAAACGCGTCTGCAGAATGAATGTTTCCGCTGTGTTCGGGGCAGCATGCCCCCAGACATCAGGAGCAACAAACCGCATAATCAAAAAACCGCGTGAATCAAACAAAACAAAGTTAGGAGGGGCACAAAGCACTCTGAACCGGTGGTGGCTTGTAAAAGCGAGATTTGGAATGGAGTGGCGGCGAAAAATTATTGTTTCTGTGCGCGACGCTGCTACTTGGTGAACAGATTCAACGAGGTATAAGTGGACGCCGCATTGCGCAAATCCGCAAGTCCATTCAATGTCACTGTGTCCGATGGATTCTCCGGTGGCGGACATGTTGGAACAAGTTCCTCTTCATCAAAAGGGGCATAACCATTTGCATGCTGTTTGTTCAACAAGGGGATCAAGGGAGAATCCAAGGAAGCTGTGTAGGGATCGAACCAACTGCTTGCAAAGTGAAAACCCTTGTTGAATGATGGCCTGCAAGGTGTGACGTAAACAAAACGAGCACAAGAGCAAGGGGAAAACGACGCAGGAAGTCCGGTGCCCATGACTGCACTTGAAAGAAGATCTGCTGCGGGCCGGTGTGTGGGAATGAATTGGACCAAGGCGGCGCGCTTTGCAAAATATTCCATTGTAAGCAGATGGCATGTTTTCGGCAGAATTTCCCAGAAACCTCCTGCAACATCGGCCCCGCAGACTTATGAATGCGAGGATATTCGAAGCAATGCAGAGGCAGCATTGCACTGCTCTGCTCTGTTTTTTTCTAAAGACAGGGCGACGGGCTGCACCCAAGAAAGTGCATCATCATGGTCAAAAGAAGCGGCATCGTTAGCATGCAAACACACAAAGAGGCACATGCGGTCCTGCGCCGGGAAAAACAAACGAGTTGGAAAGTCAAACTTGAAAAATAAAATTGCGGGACCGATGGACGGGCCAAACAATTCAAACGCTAGATCAGCTGTGCGAGATGGAAAGGATAACGGCGGCCGGAAATCAAGCGGTTGGACCCGCATCTTTCGCAGGGAACCCACATGGCTGTACCACTCCACCTGACTACACCATCCGCGGCGCAGGGTGAAACAACTGCGAATCGGTGACGCAACTCTACCCTTGAAACCGCGGGACGAAGATCAATAGAGCCCAAAGTCCAATGTATATAGAGATGCCTCACACGCACGCAGACGAAGCGCTGGCAACGGAACGCGCACGGTAAAAAACTGAGTTGAAGGAGAACTGGAAGTCCACAAGGGCTTGGGCTGATTGCAGATCGCAGAGGAACTGCTGTGTCAAGGTGATGTTTGGATGCTAGAAATCGCACAAAACCCTATGTCCTATGTTTTCTGGCACAAAGAGGCTCCCGGCGTCCATGGAGGGAACATTGTCTGTGCGACAGGTGCAGTTCATGCTCGGTTTCGCTCCGACGCGTCCTCCATTGTAAAGTAAAATTCAGGTGTGCAGATCGCAGAGGAATGTAGTAATGGCGTGGATGACGTTTGCCCATGTCCAAAGGGGCACCTTCCTCCACAGCTGTTCCGTGCTCCACCTTGCTCGACCGCACGCAAGAATTCACAGACCTGCCTCCTCGCATAACGCAAACATTTTGCAAACACGGCCAATGAGCACAATCACGCACCATGATTTGCAATGTTTGGCAAAACATGTTGCAAGTTTCTCGCCATGTTTTTTAAAGTGGACATTCACATTGTGTCGTTGCGTTTCAAGGTTCAACCCTCCTAGGCCGGGGAGTTGTCGCAAATTTTGGACTTTTGAATTGAATCTGGAGTTCAAAGGCAACGCTTGGCGGTCTGATTTTAAACAAACAGTTTTTGGGATTTGGTATACTTTGGGGTTTTTGGGGTTCCTCCACTTTGGACAGCTCTTTTGACGCCTAGTATTAGTTTGGGGTCCTGGCGGCCCTGGTGTGGTCAACGGATAATGTTGGGATTTCGTTTGAGTTTGAGGTCCAGGTTGCGCCAATTGCTTTCGGAGTACTGTAGGTACGACTTCGCCGCTTCGAGGAGCGGAGGAGGAAAATTCACTGAGATCAAATCTAAAAACTTGTCCTGCGCCTCCTCAGAAAATATACTTTAGGACTTCGGTTTGGGGGTTGGTGTTTTTTGGTTGCTGCGATTGCCCAGCAAGTTGAACGCAGTACTGTTCGGGAACCATTTCTGTCAGCTAGGAAGTTTATGCTGTTTTGTTTTGCAAAGATGCACAATCATGTTGAAAGTTGAAACCTTCCCTGGAAACCGCACGCATTTCATCGCATTTCTTGTAATGACTGGTGCCTGGCAATAGCGCAATTTGTTTGAAGAGGTAAGGACAGCGCCGCACGTTGAAACGGTAATTGGTTGACGAGTTGCTTACCGCTTTGGTGTCCGGTGTCCGCCCACCAATCATTGAAATTCGTTCATGGGGATAGCGCGCTGCCGCTTTGGACAGTCTCGGATCAAAACACAATTAAAATACTCTATTTGATCAAATTTGTGTTGATTTTTTGTTTTTTTTACTTAAAAAACAACAACAACAACAACAACAACAACAACAACAACAACAACAACAACAACAACAACCAGAAGAAGAAGAAGAAGCAGCCAGACTCAGCTTTCATGCAAACCGCGCAGATATCCTTACACCTACCTCATGCAAAATATGTTGGTCCGTTCATGTCCCTTATGTTTGAAACAAAAACATTCACCAAAAGGCATCTTGCAGAATCGCCCACTTCCAGATGCCGCATATTTTCCAAGCTAATTATTTTGTTTGGCCTGTACCCGCGAAAGCAATCTAGAACATGCTACGCAGCCAAGGAAAAGTTGGCATGAGCACAATGTAATGAAACAAAGAAAAACAAGAGTCCATTAACCCGAATGCAAGGCAAGCACGCAAAGCTGACCATCTATGTTGCAATCATTTGAAATTGGGACTGGCTGAATCTGGATAGAGAATTACAAGTACAGCAAAGGTCATCTAAAGAGCTGCAACTCGTGCAATTTCCAATCGAATAGATGGAGGCTGGTAGTATCGAACGCTGCGAGCCGTTTTGTTTGCCGGGAACCCAACATGCGTTTTGTCACTCCTAATGCTGTGGAACAACACCGAGGAACCAAGGTTTTGTCAAGGCCACATTGGGAGTGGGATCATTGATGCGAGAACAATGTGCCAGAAAAATCTCACGCGAGAGCGATACAAAAGGTTTCTAGCAACGCAAAGCATCGCCATAGGCAACAATCACAAACCTTGACCGTCCTTCCCACGCCGCACTTTATGGAACGCAATCGTACTACTCTGTTGTTAGTTATCTCCCCACAGGAACTAGTGGTGACCAGTTCACTTCGTTCAAGCCGCGTCTGGAATTGCAATGATTCCTACGGTTGATGGGGTTGTTGTCACACAGTTCATTGGTGAATTTGCCTTGAGCAATTCAAATGTTTGGGCATTGGGGTGAAGTGGTGAAGCACACTGAAAGCTCATGGGAAAAACCCAAAATCACACGGGTATCCTCTCAGGGGCACGCCCAATTTGGCACTATTTCCACACCTTGGCTAATCCAGAGCCCAACCTAAGACTCCATTTCGTTGATGGTTTCATTCTCCGACAATTCGCGTGAAATCGTGCGGAGTTCACAAGGATCATCAATCAGGGCGATTGTTTTTAGCTACACATGTTAGGGTTATTGTCTAAATAGTTCCCTGCAAACTCCAGGTTCGCCTATGCCCAAAGAACACACCCAGAGAGTATTACATACTTGTCACCAGAGGATGAACGAAAACACTGGCCATACGCTGCGATTTAGAGTTGTAGGGTTTACGGTTTGTGGTTTTAGGTTTGTTGTTTTGGAAAGCTAAAAAAAACACTAGCCCTACGCAGGGATTTGAGCATGTCAAAGATATGCAGGATCCGTCGTGAGCAAACGTGGGGTTTGTTTGCAGCAAACAGTTTTTGTTGAAGTTCGAAACTGGCAATGGTTGCGTAACGCTTTCCTTGATGCTACCATGCAGCACACCAGGACGTAGCATAGCTCTACCACAAGCACCATGTCTCGCCAGAAGCCTATGCGTACCGTTAGCCTTTGAAGTTCTGCTCAACCCTGCACGGGTGTAATTGTGCTACGTTTCCTACTTGCAAAAGTGCATTCCTATGCTGGAGTTGGAGAGAACCTGCGCCATTCTCAGCTGCACTGCTACGAATGCTTACCCAACAGAGTCACCTATGGTCAGATCCATGTTGCTCTGCATGTCCTTCGAAGAGGGACAGCTTAGGCGGTCTCATTGCCAGGCGCGGTGAAGTCCAACTGGCGCACCATTTTCCGCAACGGCAGTCGCTCAGAGCCACCTCAAGAGGCGCCACGGTCGCCCTTTCCACGGTCGCAAGCACCGAAGCGGGGAAGCTGTGCTGCAAAGATGGAAACATTTTGGAAACCACAGCGCCAAATTGTGAGGTTGACACAGTCTGACAATGTGTCAACGCACAGGCTTCCTGACACCACGTTGACACATTTGAAAGTTGATTGAAAAAACGGATGTCACTCTATATAAGACCCTTGATCCCTGGATGCCATGCCTAACAGTTTGTTTTTTTTGCAGCACCCGCCACTCCACCTTTTGTTTACATCTACACCAGTCCTCACACCTAAGGTGCTGCCTAGCAGAAAACATCACTACTGGCCACTGGCTCTCACTTTTCCTGACATTGCGGTGCAGAGAAGAAGCTTGATAATCAAGGTGCTATGGTCTTAGAACAATCTTGGAACATGATGGCTGAAAAAGTTGAATAACATCTGATTCGCCAGTTCATTGGAGGTTCATTCAGCCCCAATTTCAACTCTTCCAGTCCGAAATCAGCCATAAGTTCTTGGCATGTTCAGAATTGAGCTGAACAAAGCATCTCTAATCCCTGCGTCTCAAGACCTGCCTCCGCCTCATCCTCTTCAGAAGGTATTTCTGGGCGACAGCATGGGAGGAAAAGCACCAAGTGAGTTGTGGCCCAAGTCCAGTTGGGGATCGCTTCTGTGGGTTTGCTCTAGGGGCATTCCCGGAGTGGCTTATGATCATTTTCAATTAAGCCAGGTAGAGCCTCAGGCTTCAAGGTCAAACAAAAGATATTTTTGCCCTGCTCACGCCTCTGCTCATGGAATAATGCTGCTTCAAGCTATGTGGAATGACGAAATTGGAAGTTCTACATGACCACAGGGTAGCAGGGTAGCAGGGAAATCCAAGAATTCCAAGTGGAGCTTTCCCTGGGTGCCCCCACCATCTGGTGGATCCAGGCCAATCCACCTTCGCGTCTCCTTCCAAGTGTCGTAAGTCACCTTATCTGGGCCAACCCAAGGGTTGGAAGTTTGATCAAGGGAAGTTGGCATACAGAGAGAAAGCCATACAGCCATACAGTTGATTGGTCGTCAGCCAGAATATTTATTTGGTTGATATCAACCATTCCAATTGTGGATTTCCAGTTGCGGGACAGTTTCGTAAATATTCTGTCCAAGCTTCAAGACAAACGCAGCTCGAATGTCAACCAGGGCTGTCAAGTCAGCTCCAAGTGTGGCACAGTGAAACCACTGTTTAAGAACCCACTACATTAAGAACTTCAGGGGCTGGATTGCTGGGTTCACCCCTATCTACTGGCTACTTCAAATACAAACCCTAGGGTTTTGCGGCCATTAGGGGGTGCTTCTTAGTTATGGTTGCACCGGGCTAGGGTTAACATAGAACCTGCTGGCACCAAAGTGGTTGTTTAGTTTTAACATGGAAGTCGCGTCGTTGTCAACCTTGGGAGAAGTCTGGAAACACATTCACCCACCATTTTTCATTTCCCTGTGGGAAACAACGAGACAACACGGGAAGATTGAAGATGTTCTGTTGAAATCTTGAAATATTGAAATTGAAGCTTCACGAAAAAATGAAATGACGAGGACACACAATGTGGAGGAAACAACAGGGGGACAACGTGGGGAGATCACAACGAAGAAATGAGAAGTTCATGGGCAAATGGTGCTTGAATAAAAAAACATGGAAGTTCATGTTTAGTGTGCGCGCAGCCATGTTTAAAAAACGATATGCCCAGATGAAAATGGAACTGCACCCCAAAGTGAAGATTAAGAACTAACTCCTTAAGAACTTGAGGGTACCCTTGCTCACAATTTCGCTATTGTCCACAGATAGGACTTAAGAACCCCAGGGTAGGCTGGAAAATCGTTATTCGGTTCTTATCTAAGGGTTCCGCCAATGATACGACCATCATGTGGGAGGAACTGCAAGATTTTTGACGTGTGGAATATCTCCTTTGCGCCATAGAGCCAGTCAGGTCAGCCCACTCCTTGGATTATCCCAAATCTGAGGTTTAGACTTGGATGTCAGCTCCTGCCGATGCGTCTTAAGACGATGTCTTTGGACGCGATGTAGCACAAAGAAGCAAAAATTGCCTATGGACATCCTTGACACTGGACATCTATATGCATATATATATATATACAGAGTAGGATGCTAAAAGGTTATATATCTTTGACAAAGGACTTCTGAACCGTCAACAGTGGCAGAGCCGGCCTTCGAAACATCTAGTGAATTGGCACATGGAAGACAAACCTCAGACCAGCAGAAGGCCAGAGACGCACAATCCACAACTGGAGCTGGTTCACCTTCAGGTTTTCGATCTGATCTCCATAGTCACTTTCACATCACCTGTGAACCAAAATCAAGATACAAGGAGAGTACAGGATCAGGAGGATACATCCTGATGTCAGCCTAGCCCCAAACTGAGCACAGCACAAGAAATGCATGGAGTGTGGCTGGCGTAAACCCGCATCTGGCCAGTCACCTGGCCCGAAGCTGGAGATGTCGTGTGTGAGTTGATGTATGGCCTGCAAAAAGCACCACCAAAAAACGCCACCAGTCCCTGCTGGATAGCTGCCAGTCCCCTAGTCCCCTGGGTTTTGGCACGCCATCTTTGACACCCTCGCTAACGGAGTCAATCGGAGCAGCCTGGGAAGCCCGCTGGCTGACATGGTTTATGTTCAGGTTATGTATGCATGCTCATGTACGTGAAACTGCCCAACTCTGCCACCTTCCCATGGATGTAGACACGTTCAATTTGCTAAACTTATTGGACATGGTCTCTCCATGGAATCAGGACCTGCCTCCAACAGCACTAGAAGAGCCTCAAACAACCAGGCCGTTTGTGGTGTTTCCGCGGTAAAAAGGTGCATTTCCTTAGGATAATGAATCTGAACATCTATAATCTAATGTGATCTAACTATGTCTACTATATATTCGCATACATTTCGAGTGAGAGAGAGAGAGAAAGGGGGATAGTTGATGTTGAGGAAGCAAGAAATGTAATGCATCCCCCATTGCAATTCACTGTGTGTCTGTGCTGTTCAAGTCACCGCACCTGTCGCTCTGCATGAGACGATCGGTCATGGTCTACAAAGACCTGCGTCCCAAGGGAAGGCTTCTGGGTCAAAACCCTGCAACCCAAAGAAAAAACATCAAAAATAAATGACAGGAACTTGCGAATTTCACCTGTACACCGGTTTTGAGCCATAGCAATCTGATGGATTTTTTTCCTGTGACCCCCAAATGGTAAGAGACAGACTCTATGACTCTGTACAAGATGAACACTCTGCAGACTCTGAAACTGGAAAGACATGGCAGGGTCACTGGAAGAATCCAAATATTTTGCTTTGCATCACCATGTCCAACCTAGTCACAGGAACGGAGCACAGCAGGGTTCGTTCATTCGATGGACAAAACAAGGGACGCCCCAAGTCGCGAAGCAAAGCAAAGCATTTGAGGCGACCACAGAACGAGTGGAGACTTGCACCAGCTCCTAGCAGAAGGTCAGCAGTCAAATTTTCTGCCAAAGGATTCTATGTATCTCTATATACACCCTGTACCACCATATGCTGAAAAAAATTGGGACTCACTAAGACACTGCCTTTGGGTTCAATGATTCGGTTTGACCAATTGTTGCTTTTGACAACGGCTTGTTTATCGGTTTTGAACTCACATTCCAACTTTTCCAGGATATGGAGGTACAAGGTATATATGCATATGCATATACGTCACATAGCTCTGTCCATACGTACACTTATATATATATATGTGTGTGTGTAAATATATTATTAAATTGAATATTATATTGTGTATATAGTTTTGTGGAACAGCAAGGAGTGACAACTTGCAAACGTGGGCACCTAACACAGCGCCTGCATGTTCTCTGCACCTTTTCGATGCATAGCGCCGAGAGTACGTTTTCACCACCTCATAGCGCCCCCTGAGCCCTAAGGCTTGTCAGTGAATCGCACATGCTGGAAATTGCAAGACATGAGGTCAAGTCAAGTGTCATGATCATACCTGCGCACAACAAGTTTCACAGATTCCCAAAAGTTATTGTTGACCTCATCGCAAATTGAAAGTGCCATGGTCCAAAAGCTCTATGAGACGTCGGTTGCCATTTCGCTTTGTGAGGCACGGCAATCCATAAACATGCGTGGGTGAGGTACCCATTTGATGACTGCGCCTGTTTCTCGCATTGACTGGCGAATCACTTGCATCTCTATCGCTGTACGCTTGTCGTCTGTACATCCTACAGTCTTCTTCACTAAATGATCAAACAGCGACTTCGCATCTACCACGCATAGACTCTGTTTTAGAGTCTCTTCAGTGCTACTCTTTGCTAAAGCCATCACACGTTGGTCGCAGAGCGCGCGCTGCCATTCGCGCAGGTCAAACTTCTCGGTGATCAGATCCTTATACACAGTGGTTGTCCAAGCCAGTTCACTCAGCCCCTTTGACAAACTTTGGGATTCAGCTGCTAATGTCGAGTTGGCTATGCGGTGCGTTTTCCCTGAACGCCAATGGAGCTCTTTCCAGCTTGAAGAATGTCTCTGTCTGCGCACACCACTCCATAGGCGCCCTGAGATGAGCTTCCAGAAGCGTTTGCATAGGATGCATCAGTCACCACTCCCCATACCATTCGGTCAGGAGCAATTGGTTGAATCTTCAAGCACAGCTTTGAAGTCTTTTTCGCCTCTCGCACTGCCTTGTTCATGTCCAGCACATCTTGGACTTTCATTTTGTTGAGGCTGCCCGCAATCAAACTGGCTGCAGCAGCGCAATCAGGCCTTCCTTCCTTGGTAGCCCACGTCAGAGCTCCAATGACTGGCATCAGAGCGTTCTTTCTCTGTGCATTCACTTCTTTCATTGCTGCTCTTCCTACCTCCAACTTCACCTCGCGCAACCTTTCTTCAATGAACTTCTGCATATCAATGTGGTATGTGCCATGCTCATCCATTCTCAGCCTTCGTCCATTGAAAGAAACTCCTTGCTGCTCTTCGTCAAGAAACTTAAACTTGCCAAATTTGAATCTTCGCTGAAGTTCCTGCATTTTTGCAAAATGTGCTTCATCCCCTAGAGTCAGCAAATCATCTACTTCTACTTCAACCACCATGATGCCTTTCAACTTTCCATCCTCAAAATACCGAAAAGTGCATGAATCCATTCCAGACTGTTGGTATCCCAGCTGCGTGAGGACTTGGAGAAGTGATTTCCTCCAATGTGCTGGGGCATTCCCAAGATCATATGCTCCAGCCAAAATCTCGATGAGCTGTCCAGGAAGCAGTCCTGGGAGTCCACCTCGTGGCTGTCTACAAAACAGCCTTCCTCGTGGTCTTTGAAGTGGCAGTGATTGCATGAATGCGTTCTTCAAATCTCCTATGGCGCATCTGAATCTTTGAGATGCTGCTGTTTGCAGCACCACTGAAATGATGGCAGTGGTGACCGCGGGAGAGTACCTTTCCAAGGTGAGAAGATCAGGATCCATATCTCCTCGTATACACACCATCTTGATTTCATTGTTGGAGGTTCTCCTGGCAATTCTCCTGGTTTCCATCGTCTAGCTACTGTTGATGGAATAACCCTGCTGATGGTGCCTCCTTCTTTCAGCTGACTTTCAACTTCAGCTGATTCTTCTATGCTGAGTGCCTTTACTGCTCCTGATGCCTCCACCTTTGTCCACTCTTCTCCATCGGCAACCTTCCATAGGGGCCACTCTTCTGGTTTGATGTCGCATTCTTTCACCTCGTCTCCTCCTTTGTTGGCTGCAAAGGCTTCTCTTACCTTTGCAAGAGACACTTTTGGCTTCAGCTTGAACTCTGTGAAGCCAGCCCAAAATCGCTTTGGGCCAACCACTTCTCTCTGCTTTCTCCAGTTCACCTCCTCGAGCTTCTGCTTTCCATCTGGAAATTCTTGACTTCTGGTTGGTGCAAAACCCTGTCTGTTTCCATCTAACCTCTCATTGCGCATGACTGACTCCGTTGGTCTCTCCATGACATCTGCAGAGACTGGTGGAGCAGCTCGCTGGTTCGCTCCCAGATTCTGTGTTTCTGCATCTTCTCCTCCACCAGCATTGATGCTAGATGATGGGATATCTGGCACTGGGTCATTGGCGGATAAGGGATCACTTGCTGACTGGTCGTCAGCAGGCTGAAGGTGATGATCCAAGCGTGGTCTCCGTGGAGGTGGCTCTCCCTCCTCCTGCTCCTTCACTTCCTCCTCGCCCTCATCACTTGGAGGGACTTGCCAGTTGGAAATGTCCTTGAAGCTTCGCTTGCTTCCCTTCCTTCCTAACTCCATCTGGAGTTCCTTGAACTCATCCTTCAACAGCCCACATGCCTCCTCTTCCTCTGGGGTGGCACTCCTCACCTGCTCTTTTGTGCGCTTCCACATTTCTCCTCTCATTGCGATCCACAAATTTGGACCTTTTTGACAAACGACTGTGTCTGGACCGCACCACTGTGCAACCCTTTCCTATACACGCACACTGCCTCTCCTAGAGTGAAGTCTCGGGCAGGTCTTGCTCCGAGCTCTGACTGCCTTTTGAACTGCATCATGCATTGTGTGCTTGATGAATGCCTCTTGTGCTGCCTCCTTGATTCTCATCAATCTTTGCATGTCTGAGCTTGCCGCTGAAGTTTGGATGACAGCATCATATTTGTCATCTCCTCCTAAACTGCCTGGTATACGAATGTTCATGCCTATTTGCCGCTGAGACGGTGAGAACCCGTTGAAGGGTCTGTTCTTCGCAGCCTCCACCTCATAGACGCAGGTGACCCACTCATCATAACTGGATGGAGTGACCTGATCCACCACCTTCTTCAACATCTCCTTGCCAATCCTCCATGTCGTTCTGTTCTTCCCTGTTGCAGGGGACTTCTCGCACCGATAGTGCGAATGATCGCTCCTCCCTCATTGACGCAGAAGGAGCTCATGAATTCACGGCCCTGGTCGCACGCCACTACTTCCGGCATCCCAAAAGTTCTCACCCAACTCCTCATGAAACTCCTCCAAATTGTCTCAGACAGCCTGCCCTCCAAGGGCTCCAAGGTCTGATAGCAAGTGGCCCAGTCCACCACATTCAAGACTGGTATGGTGACCCTGGGGTTGTTGCTGGGCATGAACACCACATCAACTCCAATGATCTTGCCTGCTTCAAAATGCCTTGGAAGAACTGAGGGCTTTACTGCTTTTGGCTGGACATGAGCTTCGCATATGTCGCATCTGAACTGCTCCTTGACATACTTTAGCACTTCTGCACGAGCTCGAGCCACACGCAAGGCTCTGAGAAAGCTGGGCTGACTGGGGTGCCCAAGGTTTTCACTTTTCTTTTATCGCCTCCACTGAGACACCTGGGAAGCTCTTCGTCCTCCTCTGCCTCACTTTCTTCCTCTTGCTCGGCAGCTCCCTTCAAAATTTGGGTCTGGCTCTCTGCCTCCCTATCTTCTCCATCATGCCTCATTACCTCTGCGTCTAGCTCATCCTCCAAGTCTACTGCACGTCGCCTTCACTCATGTAAACGAAATTCACACTCTCATAGTCACTTTCCTGCTCGAAACCAGCGTAGGTCTCGTCCATCTCCATGTCCTTGTCATCGGCCGTGACCTGGTCCTCTTGCGTGGTGTTCAGACTCGCTTGCCTGAATAGTATGTAGCCCTTCACGTCATCACCAAGCGTGACTCCTTCATCTGCCAGCTCCTTGAAGCTCTTCTCCAGCCTGATGATGTAGTCCTGCAAAGACTCCTTGGATTTCCGGGATTCTCCGTAAACTGCACGTTCAAATGCCTTTGGCATAGCAGATTCTAGGTGTGGTTGAAAGTGTTCCTTCAACTTCTTGATGATTTTGTCGATGCCACTTTCTGATTGCAGCTCTTCTACAGACACTTCATCTGCAGCAGTCAGCAGACCTGGCGCTTCCACTCAGCTGACGCAATGCCTTCACGGCGTGTTTCAGCTTGGGAACATCTGTCTCCCATCTCCACAGCTCCAAATCTCTCAAGTACTCAAGTACTGCTTCAGGTTGTCGGGATTCGACCCGTCAAACGCAGGCGGAGGGTCGCGATCTCTTGGCCCCCCAAAAGGTCCATTGGACACCACTGACGCCTAATCAGTAGCCATTGCTCACTTCAACTGGCCCCGCTGCCACTGTGGAACAGCAAGGAGTGACAACTTGCAAACGTGGGCACCTAACACAGCGCCTGCATGTTCTCTGCACCTTTTCGATGCATAGCGCCCCCTGAGCCCTAAGGCTTGTCAGTGAATCGCACATGCTGGAAATTGCAAGACATGAGGTCAAGTCAAGTGTCATGATCATACCTGTGC